AGTTCAGAGAGTCCTGTCAGTCGGATTTACAGCATGTGAATTCATCAATTTCTCCCAAAATACAAGTAATAAGTGGCCGGTGAACTGGGTGAAGAATAGAGTGAACTTTATAGTTACTTACACTATGTGTCTCTGATATGAATAAAACACATCGGCAAATTAAATTTGAATGGATTGTTATTGTTGCTTCCATAGACATATGCATGTATTTTACAAACTCTAAGTGTATTGTTTTACTATGTGACCTATTTCTGATGCAGAAAAGCTAGTTTATGCATTCATGACCTCTAGACTGGACTATTGTAATGCACTGCTAGGTGGTTGTCCTGCATCTTCAATAAACAAGCTACAGGTAGTCCAAAATGCAGCGGCTAGAGTCCTTACCATATCAAGAAAATATGATCATATTACCCCAATTTTACAGTCTCTGCACTGGCTACCTATTAAGTTCCGAATCAGTTACAAAATATTATTACTTGCTCCTGCGTACCTAACTAGTCTTCTACCACACTACAATCCATAAAGCGCGAAAGCACAGTTTGAATTGGGCAGTTATGTGACGCCACCGAACGTTCTAAATCCCATATGTGGGACCGTACTCCCAGGGGCACAGAAATAAAAATCCCATATGTGGGACCGTACCGCTCAAAGGGCTAAGATAATAATGTTCCTATTATTGTACTTGATCTGTAGATAAACATCAGTGGTTTTGCATAAAATGACTTTATCTTGCTGGAGTTTAGTGCTAATTCGAAATCATGTCACTTTCTACCGGGTGTCTGTTAGAGATCACTACACTGGAGTAGAGAGCACTATGCATTGTTCTTCACGCGCACAGTAACTGAAATTTAAAACTGTTAAAAGAAAAGGCTCAATAAACTATCGCACAGTTATAATACACTACGCATCAATGTCTCTTCCCTTTGTGCTTTGAACTTTTCTATGCGGAGCGCTGTGACTCCGTGTTGCTTCAAGCGCATCATTCTGCGCACGGGATGCACATAAGCGCTTTGTGCCGCTCTGTATTGGAGCCTTTCATGTTATAATACTTTTGTGCAATGAAAGATTGTTAAAGATTGCCTTTCTTGTTCTGTCTTATCTATCATATGTTGCTGCCTCATTACTGTGCTATAATTGTAAAATAAATTTATTTAATTTATTGCATATATTTATATATAATTATATTTACTTGTTTTTCATTCATGTATAATACAATACAAAGAGCACTGTGTAACATTTTACCAGATTACACCTATTTACTTTTATTTTCTCCCCCACTAAATAATGTTTTTTCTCTAAATGTTTAGATTTTATAAAACATTATTGTGAACTCATCATTTATGCAGAATAATTTTTGCTGCTGAATTATCCACTAACCTAGTTTATAATAGTATTTTTCTCATAGATTATTATTATATATTTTTTAATTTGTTCTTTTTCTTTATAACGAAGTTGTCTATATTTAGTAGATTGTGTGTAACACACAAAAGAGTGATGATCAGGTCAACACACACTGAGGTATAGAAAAAAAAAATTGTGCTGGTATCAGATCGGCATCGGTATTGTCCGATACTCAGAACTTGTGGTATCGGATCGGTATCGGTTCTGAAAAAGTGGTATCGTGCCACCCCTATATAGAACCTAGCGAACATGTTAGGAGTCGCCCAGCCCGCAGCTCTACAAATGTCTGCTAGCGAGGCACCATGAGCCAGCACCCAGGACGATGCGACACCCCTAGTGGAGTGAGCACGCAGCCTGAGCGGGCAGGGCACACCTTGTGCTTCATAGGCCAAGGTGATGGCATCCACTATCCAGTGGGCCATCCTCTGCTTGGAGACAGCCTTCCCCTTCTGCTGTCCACCGTAACAGACAAAGAGCTGTTCTGAGGTCCTAAAGCTCTGAGTTCTATCCACGTACTGTCGCAGTGCACGTAGAGGACAGAGCAAAGCTAGGGCTGGGTCTGCCTCCTCCAGGGGCAGCGCTTGCAGGTTCACTACCTGGTCCCTGAAAGGGGTGGTAAGAACCTTGGGCACGTAGCCGGGTTGGGGTCTCAGTGTTGCACTCGAATCAGCCGGCCCAAACTCAAGGCACGATTCGTCGACTAAAAATGCTTGCAGGTCCCCCACCCTCTTGATCCAGGCCAATGAAGTCAGAAGTAGGGTTTTCATAGAAAGAAACTTCAACTCGACTGACTGCAAAGGCTTGAAGGGGGCAGTTTGTAGGGCTCTTAGCACCAATACCAAATCCCAAGAGGGTAGGGAGGGAGGCCTAGGAGGAGTTAACCTCCTGGTCCCCCTAAGAAACCTGACGACCAAATCGTGCTTCCCCACCGACCTCCCCTCTATGGGATCGTGATGAGCCGAAATAGCAGCAACCTAAACTTTAAGAGTGGAGGGGGACAGCCTACGCTCCAACCCTTGCTGCAAGAAGGAAAGCACGGCTCTGACCGAACATCTCCAGGGGTCCTCCTGGTGAGAGGAACACCATTCGACGAACAGGTTCCACTTCAGCGCATAGGCCTGTCTTGTGGATGGCGCTCGTGTTGAAGCGATAGTGAGAGCTACTTCCTGGGGTAGGTCACCTAGAACCTCCGCGTCCCGTCCAGGGACCACACATGGAGTTTCCACAGGTTCAGACGCGGGTGCCAGAGGGTGCCCCGTCTCTGAGAAAGCAAATCCTTCCTCAGAGGAATTGGCCAGGGAGGGGCTGTCGCGAGGAGCATGAGTTCTGGGAACCAGGTCCTGTTGGGCCAATATGGAGCCACTAACAAGACCTGCTCCTCATCCTCCCTGATCTTGCACAGTATCTGTGCGAGCAGGCTCACTGGGGGGAACGCATATTTGCGCAGGCCCCATGGCCAGCTGTGTGCCAGTGCATCCGTGCCGAGTGTTGCCTCGGTTAGGGAGTAGAACCACTGGCAGTGGGTGGTTTCTGGAGATGCAAACAGGTCTACCTGAGCAACTCCGAACCGTCTCAAAATCAGCTGAACCGCCTGGGGATGGAGTCCCCACTCCCCTGGAAGTGCTGCTCGAGACAGCTCGTCGGCTGCCCAATTGAACACCCCTGGGATGTGGATGGCATGAAGGGACCTCAGATGCTTCTGACTCCAGAGGAGGAAGTGGCGGGCGAGTTGCGACATGTGACGGGAGCGTAAACCGCCTTGCCGGTTGATATACGCGATGGTCGCAGTGTTGTCCGTGCGGAACAGAACGTCCTTGCCCCGAAGGCGCGCTCTGAGGGCAAGGCGTACTGCCAGCAACTCGAGGCAATTGATATGCCAACGCAGTTGGGGACCCCTCCATACCCCTGAAACTGCGTGCCCATTGTACGTGGCTCCCCAGCCAGTGGCTGAGGCATCTGTGAACACCACAGCATGCCTGGATACCTGTTCCAGGGGCACTCCTCCCCGAAGGAACGAGGGATCTGTCCACAGGCTGAAGGTTCTGCGGCAGGCCGGTGTAATCTGAACCTGGTGAGTACTGTGTCGCCACGCCCACCTTGGGACTCGGCCATGGAGCCAGTGCTGAAGCTGTACCCCACCGCTTTTCTTGGGCACAATGAAGTAAGGGCTGTTAAACCCTGTCCTCATATAGGCTGGAGGGACCGCGATGGGGCAGCGTGGTGGAACACAGGGACTCGGCCCAGGGCCTGTGACGGCAGAGGGCGGAGTCTGGGTGTGAAGTGTAACACTCACTTGATTCATCCCTGTGCGGGAGGGAACGCAGGAGCCCGGCTTGAGGATTGTGACAGCCTGGCGTGTGACGACATGAAGTGGGGACACGAGTGCTACAGCCCTTACCTGGTTCCACGAATGGGCAGGAGGGGTGCTCTTGGGCAACCCACTGCTGCCCACTGGCGAGAGAGGATGAAGGAAGTGATCCCGTGATGCACGGTTCACCACTCTCCTCCTCTTGAGACCCAGAGACCGAGGAAACTGTTCTTTTATTCAAGTTTTGGGTACCGCTGGCTGCTGGGCCAGCGGCGGAACAAAGACAGAACGAAACAAAAGATTCTCCACCCGGCCCTCCTCCGGGGTGCGATCACCATCTCCCGATGAGCAGTCTCCTCCATCTTCGGGTCACCCGTCTCAGGGCCTCTTGCACTTGCGCTTTCTGCCGGGTTTGGCGGGGGCCTGGACGGGGTTGTTACCTCGCGCTTCGAGCGATGAAGGTGACCGCACAGTCTTTGGGTCGTGCCTGCGACCGGCTGGATGGAAGGCTGCTCCAACTGCGTGGGTGCAGGGGTGGATGCAGCAGTTTTCCTCCGGTGCATGATGTGTTTGATCGCCTCAGTCTGACTGAGAGCTGTACCTTATCATGCTCCTTCATGTCGGCCAGACCCAGCCAGAGATGGCGCTACTGGACCACTAGCGTGGACATCGCACGACCCAGAGACTGTGCGGTCACCTTCGCCGCTCGAAGCGCGAGGTCCGTCGCAGCACGCAGTTCATGTAGAACCGCCAGGTCATGGCCACCCTCGTGCAGGTCTTTCAGGGCTTTGGCCTGATGGACCTGCAGTAACGCCATGGCATGGAGGGCAGAAGCCGCCTCCCCACAAGCTCTGTAAGCACTGCCAGTTAAGCTTGATGAATACTTACAGGCCCGTGAGGTGAGACATGGGTCACCCCGCAGAGTGGAAGCGGCCACTGGACACAGTTGCATGGCCACAGACTGCTCCAAACAGGGAATGCCCGTATATCCCAAAGCGGCCCCACCATCGAGGGTGGTGAGAGCGGAGGAGCTACAAGATTTGTTTTGGGCAGTAAAAGGTGCCTTCCACACACGGTGGAGGATTCCACACGAGCCCGACATTTTCACCGGCCCGGGAAAGCATAGCCGTCATCTCTGGGTCTGACTCGGACAACGCTGCCACACCCGAAGGGGGCAACGCAGCCGGGTCGTCATCCCTGGAGAGAGAGAGCTCGCCCTCCTATACAGCGATCGACATCTGGTCTCCAGGGGGTGAACTGAAGGAAACGGCCGGTTCCCTCCATCCTGTAGAGGAGCCAGCGTGCCCCTCCGGCCGCTCCACCGGCTGTGGAGTGCATGAGGGGTGAGGAACTCCCTCTGGGGAAGCCTTCACAGTAACCCTCAAATCACCTCTGACTCCACCGGACGCAGCGCTCGCCCCGGGTGCCGGGACGAGCGCTGGATTGCGGCAGAGGCAGAGGGACTCTGCCACGTTTGACGTAGCGGAGTCTTTTATGCAGCTCTGAGATGGTCATGTCCCCACAAGAAGAACATGCACCATCCACGAACGCCTCCTCAGCATGACTAATGCCCAGACACGTGAGGCAGCGATCGTGACCGTCCTGAGGCGCCAGATAGCGACCACATCCAGAAACGCACGGGTGATAAGACATCTTTAAAAAGACACGATCACCCATGTTTCTCTTTAAGAGATTGCTCTTTTAGTGCTGAAGCACGCAGGGGAGCTGGCCACCGCACACTCCTGGTGTGGCTGTCTGCACAAAGATGATATTTTTTCTTTTTTTTTCTCCCGTGAGACCACCTCTGCTGTGCCGTAACGCCCGCACTCGTTCCTGCAATCACTCGAAGGAGGGAAGAGCAGTAGTGCTGCACCACCGCTCGGCTCCGAGGCGAAAAGATGAATTAATGCGGTGCACCTGCTGCCTCTTATACCCGCGCTGCGGAGTGTGGCAGGCAGATGCTAAATCCGCATGCCAATGTCCATTGGCTCGTTTAGTTACACTCGAAGTGGATTGGTCTCTCTGGCGAGATCCCAATTCGTCAGTCATCACCGACGTGACACTGAGAGTGACCGACTGAAAGGGAACATATGTTTGGTACACTGGATAACTTAAATGAGAAATATAAAAATACTAATAAAATACCTTGCATATAAAATTTAATATTTAATATTTTTTTTTATTATTTGCCTTACAAAAATAACTGTTATATAGCTATTTTATATATTTATATATAGCTATATTGTAATTATAAAATAACTGTGATATAGCTAAAAAAATGGAGAAAAAAAAACATGGTACACTGTAATAGTTTGGTACAGTGGATATTTGTAATGATGAGTGGCATTCCTGCCTGGGATATCAACACCCTGCCACATTTTTGATGACTATACCTGGGCATTTGACGTTGTCTCTAGAAAGCACAGACGGTTCCCGAAGCCTTCACAGGAAAGACATAGTTTGATCTGCTCCTTCAGAACAGTCGCGGTGCACTGGAGCACAACTTGGTCTTCCTGTGAGCCAGAGCAGGTTGTGAGAAAGGAAGAAAAAAACAGAAGGAATGCAAAGTGAGAGGATGAACAGACCCAGATGGCAAAGGTGCCAATGACTCGTGACAATGGGGTGCAATAAATACCTATTCATAGTGAGACGTGCAAATATGTTGAATGATAACACACTAATCAGTGAGACATAAACACACACACAAACACACACACACACACACTAGTACGTTCATAGCGCAGAGCATGTAAATACGGTAATAAACACACTCGCTTCCAAACACTCTCCACCTGTCACATATAGCATTCTCAGCTGTTCCCTCCACTGACTCATGATGTTGCCATATGCTGCGCTCCCTTCTCCTCTCTCTCTCTCTCTCTCTCTCTCTCTCTCTCCAACCTCCTTTTCTCCATCATTTGTTCTCCATCTTTCTTTCTCTTTCATATTTCACTGTGTCCTAGGTTCTGTTTTTTTCCCTCTTCTGTAACAGCACTTTTGTCAAAACTCAAGCCCAACGATTTATCTTCTACCCTCCTATACAGTAGGTTTCAGAGAATTTGTGTTTTTTGCTGGCACAATCTGTCCCACAATCCCCTGCACAGAGGAAATGGGGCCAGTCTATCCTTTGTAAGGTCACAGAGCCCTTTAAAACTCCAGTCGTAAAATGTTTATCACTAAAACACATCTAGGAAGAAAGAAGATTCAGTATACAGCTGGTATTAAAGCCTTTGTGACTTATAATACAGTATATACAGGTGCATCTCAATAAATTAGAATGTCGTGGAAAAGTTCATTTATTTCAGTAATTCAACTCAAATTGTGAAACTCGTGTATTAAATAAATTCAATGCACACAGACTGAAATAGTTTAAGTCTTTGGTTCTTTTAATTGTTTAAGGCCTATATGATGTTTTATATCCAGAGATCAAGTTACTTCTTTTACAGAGATCATATTGACAATGATTTTAACAGTTGGTCACATTTTACTGTTTTAAAGTAGACCTAATTGGAGCATAATGTAATCATGGAGCAGGATAAGCAAATATAGCAAGGTATAATCAAGATATACCTTAAGCACAATCTCAAGTTTGTTGTTGGAAATAGGAAGACTGTGTGTGTGTGTGTGTGTACCTGTTTTTCTATTCTGGTGGGGACTTAAACCTGAATACACACAGACTCATGGGGACTCGTGTCACGGTGGGGACCTAAATTGAGGTTCCCACGGGTAAACAAGCTAATAAATCACACAGAATGAAGTTTTTTGAAAATCTAAAAATGCAGAAAGTTTCCTGTAAGGGGTAGGTTTAGGTGTAGGGTTGGTGTAGGGCAATAGAAAATATGGTCTGTACAGTAGAAAAACCATTACGCCTATGGAGAGTCCCCACAAGGATAGCAAACCAGACGTGTGTGTGTGTGTGTGTGTGTGTGTGTGTGCGCATGTGTCTGAGAGAGAGAGAGAGAGAGAGAGAGAGAGAGAGAAAGAGTACAACCCTGATACTTACAGGAATATGAATTTTTTAAATAGCAAAACACTGGGTGACTCACACTCCTTGTTGGACCATATTCAAAACCCAGAGACAAAAGCAACCATCCAAAATGTTTTATAAATACTACTATCAAAGGTACAGGGTACCTGATGTTATTAATAATTATATATGAAATGAATGTTAAATGAACACATTTTTACACAATATTTATTAAGAATTCAAAATAAACACATATATTTTCAAATACTGCAGCATATGAACACTTAACTTAATATTCTTAGAGATGCACTTAAAGGTGCAATAGGTGATTGTCTTCAGAAACATTTTTTGTTATGCTGGTTGAATGTCATGCTACTTTAAAAAAAATCTATGCTATAGTAAAATTCTATGCTATTTCTCAAATGACAAACAAATTACTAAAGAAACTAAAACCAATTATTTTAAATACTACAAGAGAATTTAGGCCTGCAACATTATAATATTATATTTATTTTGAGATTATATTTAATGAAGATTTCATTCGTAACAGTGTTAATAAATTATTAATGTTTAGATTAACTTTATTTGAGTGTTAGATGACAGAAATGTACTAAAATGTAAACAAAAATATAGGAGAACTAAAATGTACTAAAATGTAAAAATAGGAGAACTAAAATGTAAAATAAAAAAATATTAGGAGAAATTAGCATAATTTAATATTTTGTACAATACTCATCACTACGGATAAATAAAAAAAACAACTCTAAAATCAGTCAATGGTCCCTATAAAAAAATGTTATACGAATAGAACTTGATCCTTATGTGAAAGACTAAAATCATACACAAATCTTTAATGAATGTAGCAGGCCCATTAATAACATCTGTAGTGAGCACTAAATCATTCTGAGCCTTTGTTCTCATGGTAAGCTGCTGTGCTGAGCCTCATGATCTGCAGGCTTAGCTCATCCTTGTATAAATAGGCCCAGAGCAGCGCTGGGATTTGGCAGATGCGGAACACTTTACACCACGAGACACAAACAGTCAGCGCTAATGTGTTGCTTAAATGCTTCAGAGCTCATGCAGATTACAGTGAACAAAGAGTGTAGGAGGACAAACTGGGAAGACTTGGAAGAGCACCGAACTGAAAACCTGGGCCTTATCAATATGTCACACTTATTTCTGCCTCTTAAGACAGGTATAAGATTACAGCCAAACCATATTTAGGTCTAGATTCACAGCAAGACAACCGTAAATACAATTAGGGATTGTTTTGAACCTGTTATAAAATAAGTGGGTAGAGATATACTTTCAACTATTTCAAGATCAGTTATAATTTTGTACACTTTGCACATTTATCTGCTCAGTTCTTATTGCTGCTTAATATTTCTGTGGAAACCGTGATAAAGTACACAACAATTCAAAAGTTTGGGGTAAGTTTGATTTTTTTAAAGAAATGAATAATTACATTCTGCAAGGATGCATTAAATTGATCAAAAGTGACAGTAAAGAGATCAAAAGTAATAGCAAAAGTGACATAAAATATTACAAAATATTTCTATTTCAAATAAATGCTTTTCACTGTTTCCACAAAAATATTAAGCAGCAAAAACTGTTTTCAGCATTGATATTATTATTAATAACTGAGCACAAATAATAACTGATAATAATTAAGAATGGTTTCTGAAGGATCATGTGACACTGAAGACTGGAGTAATGGCTGCCAAAAATAGAAAATAGTTTGTAATAATATAATATTGTAAAAATATTTCACAATATTACAGTTTTACTGTATTTTTTGAAAACAATAATAAAACATAAAACAATTTTTAAAAACAGCACAAGAATAATTATTCCAAAACAAATTTAAAAAGCGTATTTTAATTTATTAAAATAATACATATTTGTATATTCTATATTTATCCATCAGTTAAAATAAGAATATCAAATCATATCATATCAATTTAATGGACTGTGAGCTGATACAGCTGCTTTTTCAGATGAATTAATTCGCTCAGCTCTCTAAAGAGCCCGACTGTGTGTTTACAGATGTGCTGTGGCACCTGTGGGTATCAAAGAGCATGAGAAACACGGGTGCTTGATCACCACTGATGTCACAAATGTCTCAATGGGGTCAGAGGAAGCTGGGGTGTTACCTGATGAGAACAAAGTTGTGCAAAACCTTGGTAGCCAACTTTTTCTAAGCTGTTATTAATTGATGTGTATTCCCATTATACTGGTGTATATCATCTGCCTTGAACACGGCACTGAATATTGACATTCTCATTACAATGATATGTTGTGTCGCAATTCAGCAATAAGGAATAGAAGGCCATGTTACACTGTACATAGTCAACGTTAAATACAGTCTTACTAGGATTTCACAGAATGTTTGTTTATTGCGGCCCAAAATGAGTAAAAAAAAAAAAGACATTCGTTACCTTTTTGAGTCATTTTACAATTAAAACTTTAATAAATTAAAACTTAGATTAAAAATAAACTATGAAACTATGTAATTATTGTTATATGAGTACAATGACCCACAAATATTTTAATGCATAATAAGTAAACACTCAACAAGCATGCAAAAACTATGCACAAGACAAGATATATTTACAACTAGTCAAAAGCTTGGAATAATTTTTTTTTTTTTTATATTTTATGCTCACCAAGGCTGTTATTATCGGATCAAAAATACAGTAAAAGAGGTAATACTGTGAAATTACTACTACAATTTAAAATAACTGTTTTCTGTTGTAATATATTTTTAATTTTAATTTATTCCCATCATGGCAAAGCCGAATTTTCAGCAGCCATTACTCCAGTTGTCAGTGTTAATTCAGGTTTGTCATCACAGAAATAAATAACATTTTAAAATTATTAAAAAGAAAACAGTTATTTTAAATTTATTTTACAATATTTATGTTTTTACTATATTTTTAATCAATGCAGCCTTGGTGAGCATAATAGGCTTTAAACAACATTTAAATTCATACCAACTCCAAACAGGTGGTTTGTATCATATATATATATATATACACACTGTTCCACAGTTAGTTCCAGTCCTCTAAATTGATTGGTTGAAAAATATTTAATATCAGTACTGGGCCATTTCACTATCACAAACACGACTGGAACGCTGAATTAACTAATCAGCATCCAGAACTAGAATCTGTTTATAAAAAAATAAAAAAAACTCACATTCATTTAGTTGTAGTTCATGTTAGCAGTCTACAGTCTGCAAGACATTTGGATTCACACAATGACAGAACTAACTGTATTCTAATTAATTTAGTCATTTACTATAGAGTGACATAAGAAACCAAAACACTGTAACAAACCTAAAAACCTTATAACCTCATTGACAAGATTGCATAAACATACAGTATTAACAAGCTGCTACACAAACAAACTTAGGAGGGAAAGAGGAAATGCAGTGTGCCATCAAAACACACAACAGCGTTTATAATTAGAATCAGTGTGGGGATTCCCTTCTCCTCCAGTGTGCTGACAAAGACCTCCTCAAGCCAAATCCCTTCGTTTTGACTA